ACAAAAAGCAAAAAAAAAAGAAAGAAAGAAAAGAAAATACAAGTTAGGTGCAAAAATGTCTAAAGTGTATATATTAAGTTTTTCCCCTCTCCATCTCTGATCCTATCCTAGAGGTAATTAATCAATGTTAACAACTTAATATGTATCATTTCATAGTTCTGTTTATAGAAAGATGCATAAAGGATTTTTGTATTTTAACAGAATTTTCCAAAATATGTTACATAAAGTCTTTACTAGGCAACAGGTATTAGCACACTTCAATTTTTAATGGATGCAACTGCACTTATCCAACCACCCCCCTTCTGATGTACATTTATGTTCCCACTTTTTGCCATTACAAACAATCTTGCTATGATCATTCTTGTTTTTTAGTAGAGACAAGGTAGTAGTGCTTCCTATAGGACATATTCCTGTAAGTGGAAATAACTCTGCCAAGGGCCATGTGCATTTTTACTGTAAGAGATGACAGATTATTTATAAAAATGTTGTGGTAATATGCATGCCTATTATAGTGTTTGGATGCATCCATTTTGCTCCATCTTCAACAATCTTGGATATTATGTGTATTTTATTTCTGCAATCAGATGGGCTAAAAATGACATTTGTTTTCCTTTACAGCATCAAGGAAGTCTTTTCTCACCTTGGGGTTATATTTCCTATAATTTCTCTCAGTATTTTTATAGTTTCAAATTTTTATATTTAAAACTTTAGTTCATGTGAACGTTTGTGTATGATGTGAAGGATCCACATTTTTCCATATAAATAACATCATCCCCCATTATCTAATACAAGCATATTCCTCATGTTTATCATAATTAAATTCCTATTTGTCTGTATCTATTCTGAGATTCTTTATTCTGTAATTGTGTATTTCTATACCAATATCAAAAACTGAAACAGTACAAAGAACACAACAAACCTTTCATATAGATTCATCAGTCTTTTGCCTGTTTTTTCTATTAATACTTTTTGCTTAAGCATTTGATGAGGTGCAGGCATGATCTTTCAACCTAAACTATTTCAATTTTTAAATTTTCTTTTTATTTATTTATTTTTTTTGAGACGGAGTTTCACTCTTGTTACCCAGGCTGGAGTGCAATGGCGCGATCGGCTCACTGCAACCTCCGCCTCCTGGGTTCAGGCAATTCTCCCGCCTCAGCCTCCTGAGTAGATGGGATTACAGGCACACGCCACCATGCCCAGCTGATTTTTTGTATTTTTAGTAGAGACGGGGTTTCACCATGTTGACCAGGATGGTCTTGAACTCGTGATCTCAGGTGATCCACCCACCCCGGCCTCCCAAAGTGCTAGGATTACAGGCGTGAGCCACAGTGCCTGGCCAATTTTTAAATTTTCTTTCTTTTTTTTGAGACAGAGTCTCACTCTGTCACCCAGTCTGGAGTGGCGATCACGGCTCACCGCAACCTCCACCTCCTGAGTTTAAGTGCTTCTCCTGTCTCAGCCTCCTGAGTAGCTGTGACTACAGGCGCATGCCACCATGCCAGACTAATTTTTTTTTTAATTTATTTATTTTTATTTTTGAGATGGAGTTTCACTCTTGTTACCCAGGCTGGAGTGCAATGGCGTGATCTCGGCTCACCGCAACCTCCACCTCCTGGGTTCAGGCAATTCTCCTGCCTCA